TATGCGCCTGTATATATATACGCGTGCTACACATTGAGTCCTCCCCCGTAATGTGTGCGGTTGTATATATACGGTGCGAGATGATACGTATCAAAGTATACTCGCAAACACGCATACACATACACACACGGTCGAGAGATGACACGCGCGCGCGCCTCTGTGTGTATTGTGTTACGCGCGACACTTGAAAAGACGAGCGCGAAGCCCACGTGCTCGGTCCTGTACATACATACAACAACATCCCACGCACCGTCTCGGCCCAAGACTTGCATCTCGTTTCCAATCTCTTTCTATACACACATACATATTTATTTATTTATTATTATTATTTTTACACATGTCATTCACGCACACGCGGTTAAATCGTTACGTCACGATCCCTATACACTCGCGGACAAATCCTCGACGAGCGTACATGTATCTTTGTAATGTACCCTCATTTTCTTCATTGTACCTCGTATATATTGGTATTATGATCGCTATAAGAATGGCCGCGCGGAGCACTCGACGCCTCGTGTCATTGTCGCCTACGTAATAATAACATATATTACGTAGACGTAACTGGACTGGAGCACGCGATCGGTGTGTATGGGTATAGTAGGCGATCGGTTTTCACCAATTTCTTCGAGGGCCAATTATCTCGGGCCTCGTATACGTAGAATAGAAATAATTTATATAGAGAGAGAGAGACAGGGGTAAGTTTTTGTCGAAAAATTGCCGGCGCAGAGAGAAAAGGTGTAGGTACAGAGCTTTGACAGAATATATAAGAACGATACATGTGTGTGTACTACGATTTATAGCGCGAGCTGTCTTCCTTCGACCTTATTTTCTCTCGCTCTATCTTTTTATTTTGAAACGCTGCGCACTACGTCGAGAGCTGCGTGTACATTAAAGTATATATTTATACGCCGTACACCTATATACGATACAAAAGGAACGTTGAGTACTCGGCTGCAGCTTTTCGACTTTTCCTCATAGTCTTACATATCGCCCCGCGCGATTGTCCAAAAAAAAAAAAAAAAAAGGTAAAAAGAAAGAGAGAATACGTATATTATTGTACGGAGAGAGTCGTCGTCGTCGCGCGATAGAAGCTGTATACTGATCGAAGGGCAGATGTAGCCCGGTTTACACGTATAAATCAAGCGAAAGCCAAAAAGGAGGCGATTAATCCGTCGTTGTAATTGACAATTAGCGGCCGTCGTCGTCGTAGTTGAGAAAGGATCGGAGTCTTGGAAGAGGATCCCCCGAAATCGTCAGCATCTGCGACTCTTCGATAAAGTCCTAATTGAAGCAATCGCCACTTGATTGTGTCCGCAACGACGATGTATATTTATAGGCATAGGTCCAAGGAAGCAGCCGTGAATATCGTAAAACACAGGCTGGTCGCGTTATTACGTCGAATTCTCGCGGCCGACTTGACCGCGCGGGGCGATAGCTGCGACGTAATCGGCTACTCAAGAGCCTGATCGTAAATACAGATTATACGTCATCGATAAGTAGGCACGAATATATATGTACGGGGGCGCGTGTCGCATGCGTCCCATTTTTTTTTTTTTTTCCTGATAAATCCGATGCCGCTGGCACGCGCCTACGATCATCGCGAGAGAGAGCGGAAAAATCGGACCGCCCGTTGTATAACGTATAGCATACATTATGTAGAATCTTCGGAGCTGCTGCTTGGCGTATATATGTATACAAGACACATAGACACAGACATAAATATCCTTGCGCCGGTACTTCTGGAGCTCGCTAAGGTAATTTTTCTTCGCTGGTATACAATAACAATAACAACAGAAGCAGCAGCAGCAGCAGCACATCTGACTGTATATATATACGGTCGAGTCGTATACACATTATGTTGTATAATAATACGCGCGAGATTTCCAAAAGCATAAAGCCTAAGACCGAAGAAGTCTTACAGGAGTCTCTTCGAAAGGGGCGAAAGTCTTTTGATACCTTTTGCTTTTTGGCGCGTGTCCTACACACACACACACACACACACACACACACACACACGTATAAGCTGCATATGGTTTTCTTGCTGCTGCTGCACCGACACTATACCATGCGCGATCGCGTACCTCTGCGGGATGAGTGACAAGGGCTGCTGCTTTACTTACTCGTATACTTTTATACACACATACACCTTCGAGATTTTTGAAAGAGAGAGAGCGAGGCAAACAGTAAGTACGAGTACACGTACAATTGAATTTCTGCCACTGCGTCGCGCGCTTCTGCATATACATGTATGGTTAATGTGTGTGTGTGTGTGTGTGTGTGTGTGTGTGTGCCTCATTCTACAAGGGCGTAAAATGTATATACTTTTCGCCCGAAGTAAAGAGAGAGAAACGTAATAAGACAGTTTCGGGGTTATTATTATTGGGCGTGCGTGCTATGTACATTTCTGCGCGGCGAAAAAAGAAGAAGAAGAAGAAGAAGGAAGAGAGAGAGAGAAAAGAAAAAGGGCCCGTACCCGTACCGTGCACGCATTATATATAATGTATAAGGGAGTCAAAGGGTTAAAACGCGCGTGCATATTTTCGAGACTTTTATGTATATACGCACATATTGCATTATACATACATAATGTGTATCGCCTGAATTTTGACGAGTAGTCGTCGTCGTCACTCACTCACTCGCTCGCTCGCCTGTATACCACCGTCAGCGTCACGTATATACAGACATCATCCCTCCCGCGGGATTCAATAATAAATACGCGTATATTATAATGTACATTTTTTGAAAGGCCATCGTATTGTATGCAATAATGAAAGGCTTTATTACTCTGGCAGCGTGTGGACTGCGTCGCGATCTCTGCGTGAAAACGATCATCGATCGACGCGCGCCTATATGTATTGGTAATCATGTACACACACATAGCCGAGGAAGATGACAGAAAAATCAGAATCCGAATGGCGTATTCGTGTCCAACGCGCATCGAATCATTAATAAATGGGCCTCGGAAATGAATTGGTTTCTCGGAAAATAGACGAACAGGGCGAATCGGAAGGAGAAAAAAAAAATCATCCGCACACACCTGCTCCTGTATATATACCATACTGAAAACACAAGCGATGATTTTGAAAATCTTCTACGTACATAAATATAAGTCATCGTTATAAATGCAGGGTAATGAGTCGCTGATCATTACATTATGAAACTTAATGCGACGGGCAACGATACTAAATTCGCGATACGTTCATTATGCTTACGTATTAAGTGTATCCTATTACCTGGGCGATTCATCAAGGCGCGCGCGCAGAGTCCGCGAAAAATCCCCGTATATTGTTGATATATAAATTTGGCCGAGGTGCCGCATCGGTCCCCTTTACATAAATAGTTAACCACAAATCATAATACACATTGTATAAGTACTGCAGACAACGTATTCGGGTTTTTCGACTTGGTATATATATATATACGGCAACAAAAGTCACCCGGTATCGTCTTCGCAATTTTCGGTGCACGGCGTGTCAGTACTACTCTCTCTATGTGTATCTGTGTGTGTGTATATAATAAAACGTGATATATACATATAAGCGGACTTACCCCCCGCGGTATCGAGGGTCGTTGTGTGCGCGCCTCGAGTGAGAGATGCACTCGATTTATATATATATAGGTGTGCGTATACATTACACAGGGCAGGCTTAGGGCCACTGCTGTTGCTGATGCTGCACGGTTAATCAGATGCTAATTCTACGTGACCTCGGACGTAATAAACTTTTGCGGACTGCACACGGCTCGGAGAGATAATAATTTATTGCATATTATGTGTCTGTGTAGAGGTAGAAAGATATGGACTATACGCATCGGCGAAGGATTTATATAATATACCCAAACAGAGATTATGATCCTTGCACGTACCTATATGTATACGAATGTGTGTGTGTGTAACAATGGCCCACATACGCAGTGCGCAGTGTGGGTTACGATATAGAGACGTACACAGGCCGCCTCTATTTAAACAACTAACAATAAACAAAAAAAAAAGGGTTGCGTTATGATAGGTGAGATTATATAGATAATGATACTTATATTCATTATATTATATGCGAGAGTAGACGCGAGGCTGTTCAGCGGTGGTGGTGGTGGGATATTCGAGGGCGCTCGTATCATATTTGCGGTGGCGCGTATATTTATCGTACACGTATTCGTATGATGCAGAGAGGCTTAGGCTTTAAACAATAATATACGCCGGGGTAGTTGCATAGGAATCTCGATGTCGGTGCAGTTATTTCCTTCTGATTTTTTTCATTTTTTTTTTTTTTTTTTTTTATAATTAAGATCTTTTCTGTCGAGGGTGGGTATTCATGGGCAATTTTTTATGATATATGTATTATATTATAATAAAAGATCTAATAAGAATTTATAGCGGATATGTGCAAGTTAAGTAGCTTAATTTCAACTAGTCGCCCTATTGTGTCCCCGGATATAAATGCGTTCGAGGCAATCGATTCGACCTCGATGATTATTTTTCATCGGTTTAACGCCGTTTAACGGCTAAAAATCTAGATTCGTCACTGAAATATATATATACGTCGTACTTGTGTGCGTTTGTGCGTCACGCAGCAAGTACACACGCACATACAGAATCAAGTAGAGTATAGACGAAAGGTGCAGTACGTGTGTGTGTGTGTGTGTGCAATCCGACCGAAGTCGAAATTACAGGGTGCTGCGCGGCGTACAGCGGTGAACTCCATACATATACAACACCGCGTGCAAGTGTGCGAGTACACATACGCACACATACCAGTACACCGTATAGGGAGAAATATATAAAAAAAAAGAAAGGTAGGGATAGATCGGCGGCGGCGGCGGCGGCGATGGATGGTTGGATTATATACCAGCGGTGGATGGTAATGCGTGCAGCGGCAGAAGCAGTAGTAGTAGTAGTAGTAGTGTAGGTTTTATACGTAAGGCCCCGAGCGTATAACAGCCCCACCGCCAGTCAGTCCGTAGCCGAACGTTCGACGCTGCGCACACGACGCACAGCGACACGAGAAAGAGAGACACACACGCGCGCGCGACTTTTTTTAAATAGCAATATACTGTATAAAGTTATATATTTTATCGAATAAGTTTATTATTTATTGTTATTTAAATTTTATTTATTGCAAATTATATAACTGGGTGACGCGCGTGTGCGAACGAAAAAACGATATAATAATATGCACAGTGACTCGTCGAGGATAATAATGTCGAAATCGAACGACAAGTGCAGCACATAAACACAAGGCGGAGTATACCTTTGGGAGAGCGGCGTAATAATTATAAAAAAAAACGAGTGCGAATAATGCGAATAATCGGCAGTGGAGTTTTTCCCGACAACGTCGAAGTAGTAGTAGTAGTAGTGCATCGTCGTCTCGTCGTCGCAGGACAGAAGACGAGAGAAGCAGTAGTGGTGCATCGATTCACGGCCTAACAGCCAGAAATTCTTCGAGAGAGAAAAAAAAAAGTACCCACCCGAGGAACGCACAGGAACGAAACAAGCGAAGGAAAGAAGGAAGGAAAAGAAGGAAAAGGGATCTAAGGGTTGCGGATCTGCCGAGGAGGTGTCTGTGCACGGACTCGTAGCAGCAGCGGCGGCGCAACGTAAGAGAGTGAGTGTCAGATTTATCATCGTCGCATTTCCGCCGTATTGCTTCTTTTTTTACCGTGTTACGCGTACCTTTCACGTTTTTTTTTTATTATGTAATACGGGGTGGAGTAAAAAAAAGAAGGAAGAATATAAGAAAGAGAAGGAAAAAAAAGTACATAATCTAATACACGCGAGTGTGTGTGTGCCGAATCCGTGCGCGTGAAAAAGTAAAAATGTTCATCTCTTCCCGGGCTATATGATATTACTTACACCACGAGACAGCACGTGCGATACGTGCCTATGTAGCTGAGGGCTGCGCGATCGAGACTATATACACGACAAAATATAATATATCTATCTATCCACGGGTGAAAAGCGTGTAATATTTTAACGATCGCCTCGAGAGAATATATCTGCCCGAGGATGAACATGATCGATGTGTCGCGCGCGCTATCTATCTATATCCGTATATTATATATATTATAATTTACAAACTCAGCTGTGGAAGGCGCGCGAATATTGTTGTGTACGGAAAAACAGCTGTGATTTTAGGCTCTTTGTATACACATGCTACATATAGGCAAGGCAGTTGTCGCGCGATTATTATTTTTGTATTTCTTTTGCTCTCTCTCGAACGAGTGACTCGTCGAGTGGTCAGCGTGATTTTTTATTCTCTCTCTCCCTTTTTACGATTACCGTACACGCGAGTGCAAATTCGTCGCGAATAAACAAGCGCGTATTTGTCGACGCGCAATGGGCCGCAGAGGCGATTTAGAATTGGCCCGCGGCGATCGGCGCGCAGGATTCAAATCGAATTGTTTACACTGGAGTCGGCGACATTAGCGCAGTCACACACACACACACACACACATGTGCAGCAAAATGTCATATACAGAAAAAGCTAAAGCCTAATCCTTCTAAATATTTGCACAACTGCCTTGGCGCTCGCTTATCCGATATATATTCTTAGGCGAGCGCACGGAGGGAGAGAGAGAGGAGGTATATATATGTATAGAGTCTTAGAAACAATACATGCCGTGGACAGCGGCTGCAGCAGACACACACCGTACCACACACGCACACATGTATATAGGTAAAAAGTCGTTATAGATTTTTAGGACGACATTTCGGGCTCTCTATCTTTCTCTCTCTTTCTTTCTCTGCTGTTGCTACTCCTGCCTATATACATGGTAGTAGTAGTATCCGACTTTTGCGCTCTTATAGAAAAGAAATTTCTTCCAAAGCGAATTTCTGCAGAGAGAGAGGCCCGCGCGGATGGGACTCCGGGTTGAACCGGTTTTTTTCATTCTCCAGGCCAAAGGCGCGCCGAGCGATCACCCATGCATTGTACACACACACACATGTTTATATGTGCTCTCTGCCCTGCATACATATCTTCCGACCGGCTTCTTCTTTCTCTCTCTCTTTCTCTTAGCCAAAAAATCTTTTCTTCGGCTACAATACTTTCTAGTTTAACTGATCCTGACCGGGACTCGTATACATGTAGACACACACACACATACACATACATACAGAGTGGAGAGAGATAAAAAAAAAGGTGGAATGAGGGACGAAGTTTCGCACGATTTTAATAATGTCTCGTGCACTGCTGTTGCTGCTGTTGATGATGACGACGACGACGGCGACGATGATCAGTTCTACACACACATGTACATTTTACCCACTTGCGACTGCGTATATACGCGCAATGAACAAGTTTCTTTTATTATAATCGCTATATTGTCCGATCGCAAGTTTATATTTATTATGCGCGAGCGAGCTGCTATACTTTTCTTTTTTTCTCTTTCTCTCTCACTGCCTCTCTCTCTCTCTCTCTCTCTCTCTTTTTTTCATTCCTGACTCTTAGACGCTGGGGAACATGATTTTTCTAACTCGCAGATTCCATACACACTTTGTGTCGGAGCTGCAGCATATATCCTGCATTGATACTCCGATCGAGCGTAACGGAAAGTACGTTAAAAAGCGCCCATCATCGTCGTCCATCGGTATACACACGGACGATTAAGCAGCCGCAGCCGCGTTAAAGCGATTTTATAATTCAATTACGGGCATGGCCATTGTTACGAACTCGAGTCACTGTCTCAGACACAGAGAGAGAGAGAGAGAAATTAATTTTTTGCCCCCGCGCTCGCTTAGAGCGTCGCCCCCTGCGCGCGTTACACTGCACACGTCTGTCTATCAAAAAGCTATCGTGGTGACGCAAAAAAAAAAAAAAAATTCAGCGCAATGACACACAAAAGCTCGATGAAAATCGCGCGTGCACACACACGAGCGATTCGATTATAATAATATAATAATGATAATAATGATATCGCGACCCTCGCGTCTGCTTAGCTACGCGTCACGGCGTGTAAATAGTATATCCCGGGCACAAGTGGGTGTGTATGTATACGATACACAAGAGTCGGCGTTGCGAGCTGATCTCTGCGCTCGTTCGAGTGTCCTTTATTTTCGTATACAGCTCGTTGAAGAGCTCATTAGCATATACATATTTTTTTGCCTCGAAACTCCAAATTTCGAGAGGTCACGTCAATAGGACTGTTTCTGTTGCCTCTACCTTCGACTTCTTCTTTTTTTTCGCATTCGTGCGAGCGTCTTTATTATATTACATGCGCTGACGTCGCGAGCTGCACAGCTGTTGATTTTTGTATTTTTTTTTTTTGTCAGAAACTAATGAGCCTCGGCGTTTTGCGAAGTTTTGAGGGTGAGCGCCGATAAATTATCGACCGACCGCAACGAGCTTCTTATTATATTGGCCGATAATTGCTTCATTCGAGCGTTTGTACCCCTTTCTGAAATTTTTGATCGGAAGATTTTCTTCGTACAAAATATATAAATATGTTACATCGACGAGCGGACGTCGCCGGTACACTCGAGGACTCGACCGCAATTCCAACGTATTTATGTCACGAAAAGAAGAAAAAAAACAGAATAAATAAAAGCCGCAAAAATCGTACTAGGGTTGGCTCGGCGATGCTATAGACGTATTTTATTAAAAAAAAAAACTTTCCTGAAGTCTCGACTCCGTTCGTTACGCTCGCGCGAATCGAGGACGCGAAACGACTCCGCGCATTATATACAATATTGTCGTTTCGGACGCACGGCAGAAAATTGCATCGCTCGCGTGGACAGGGTATGCATCATAAAAGGGATTGCATACGAACGAGTATATGAATTTAAGTTAAAAAAAAAAAAAAACCCAACGGTAATCGTATACGTATAGATCGTTTGTTTTCCTTAGTCTACTCGCGCGACAGACAGACAGACGAATGTTTTCACATGTGCTGCTGCGTGGGATGACGTCGCAGCCCCGATACATCATACATCCATATTGATAAGTCCGATTCGTTACTCGGGATCGAAAAACGTAACGTAAAATGACAACAATCATATATGGTACCATAGTAACAGCGATTGGGTTATCGCAAATGGCCAACGTATAACGTATTACGGCGCGCCGCGGCACTCGAGCCGAGTTACGCGTATTATACAATTGGTCCGGGAAAAAAGTGCCTCGCGTAGCATCGATGACTCTTGTATGCGTTATGTATGCGCAATGGAAAAATCGACAAATGGTCATCGTCGTCGTCGTCGTCGTCGTACGGCAATTAAATGTCACAAAAGGATAGGGTGATCGAAGTTTATAAGCGCATGTGCCCCGCGTGCGCCAATCGACAAATAGGATAAAGGGAGAGAGAGAGAGAGAGAAAAAAAACCCTTGATTGGTCAATGAATCGAATCGAACGAGAGAGAGAGAAGGATGAAATACGCGAATATGCGTGTATTATTATATTCGTAGTATATATACGCACACAAGCCACCCTCATGCTAATTTAACGAGGAAGGAATTACTAGAGCGAAAAATTGTTACGTGCCAAACGATTTCCTATACAGAGCAATAATACATATTATGTATCCGTCGATCATCGATATCGAACTCGATCATTGATATCGAATGCGAATCGAATATTATATACCTTGAGAATCGCGACGAGAACTATACCTATACTCTCGATAATAATCCGAGCAATTTTTGATCATTGTCGCGTATATCGAGTACTTTCCACCCGGTTGAGTTCGATGACTGTTGGAGGGTAGTATAGATTATGATAACCAAAAGCCGTTTCGACGATTACATGAATTGAATATACAAGCATAAAAATATAAATATAATGTTTATACATGTGTGTGTGGCTCGTCTAACGAACCGCGTATACACAGGATCAATTTACCTCCGAAAAGACGTTTATGAAAATATTAAAAAGGAAAACACGGAATGTCATATATTTTTGATGCGGTCTGCCGCACACATGTCGCTGTTCTGCATACGCACGCGATACGACAAGTATAAACCTCCTCCTGTAATGCAAGCAAAACAAGCTTGTCAAAAAAAAAAGTCAAAATTCCATACCGCGATCACCGTTGATGTCGATCGTTTTGTGATCTTCTGCTGCTTGTACAGCATAACCGCGACGCGGTGTCGATGTCGCGCGCCTTCCATGCGTATGTACGTATACGCCTACGCGCGTGTGTGCATGAAAAAATAGAGAGAGACACATATAATGTATACATTTCTATTTTCGTCAAAGGGTATGCACATTAGACGGTTATAAAAGCCTCGATACGTATAGCATAAATCAATGCGTGTGTGTGTGTATAGGGAAATTTCTTAGTTGGACAAACACGTCGAATGTGTCGGGGGCTGCTTGTAGTACATATACGCATGTGACATGCATGAGCGCGCGGGAAAAATCAGCCTCGACTCCGTCACGCGTATAAGTCGGATCGGTCCCTATATACACGTATTTATTGTTATTTTATTCGTCTTCTTATTCTACTCCTTTTTTTTATTTTTAAAACGGTACCTAGACGGTGTAAATGTACATATATACATATGTAGAACCTTTTGATGATGCCGCCGATACATTTGTATAAATACTGCACTCTGTCGCGTGTCTCGCGCTTCTATACACACGCACACATGTACGCGTTCGATCGATT